CGCTACAAAAATTGCTGAATGAAGAGTGTCAACTTCTCATATAAAGAGAGGTTACTGGCTACACTGTCAGTGATGAATAAATTTGGTCTACACGGTGATTGACGTGTCATAGTGCTCCTTTTCGTCCAGTCAAATACCCAAATCGTCTTGGAGGAGTTAAGAGATGCTATGAACATAAAAAGCCTCTTGAAAGAACCTCGATTTAGGAAAAGCAAATCATGCGCGGACCTAATTACGACACTAAGCATCATCTCTGGACACAATCTAGAATGACAATGTACTCCAAACTCTCACTTTTCAAGTATGGCGAATAAGCCGGTGGGAGCGTCTAGAGTACAGTAATTTGCGTTAATACTATGGAACATTTTTGGACCTCATAACAACTGCAAGACGATTCCACATAACACGCAGTTAGCAGTGGAAGGCTCACTGAAGCGTTCAAAGTGAAGACAAGCAAGCCAAGACGACCTAGTATTTCTGATTGTGGCCGACCATGATGAGGCAGGCTGGGAGGAGAGGGAAGACGGGTGTTTGGAGGAGCCACAGGATAACTCCTGGTTATCTGGATTCCGCGGACGATGACGCCCTATGTCAATGGAAGAGTTACAGGCAGGTGTCAACCAGTTGGTTGGGGTGTTGGTGAAGACATAACTTCTTTTGAACACCCTGAAGAGTGAAGTGATGAGAGCACCTGATAGACCAAGAATTAGCTATCTACTACCAATATGAGAAACCTGTAGGAAGAAGTTTCTTTCACCTACCTGGGTAGCATAAGTTGTTTCAACCAAATGTAGCGCGACGAATGGGGGTGTCAAAGGCAGGAAAACAAGATACAGGATCATTATACTGAAATCAGTTTGCTGATTTTCAGTAATCAGGACAATGAACAAGGTCCAAATTTTCAACACCAATGTCAAAACAGATAAAGTTTCCAAATGTTTCAGAGCCTTGTTGGGTGAGTCACGAAAGGCATTGGTATCCGCCTTTCGTAGGCTTGATACAAAAGATACTATTTTTCTCTTGAAACTGAAGATCAGATAGCGTATTCGTAGGGACAAATAACAATGAACAAAAGTGTGCTGAGCTTCACCTTTCAGGTCGACTCGTCAAGCTGAGGGCTCATTGTGAAGCATCCACGCTACATGGCATACCATCGCATCACATTTGTTCATGCACGATCTCCACCTATCTAAGCATTTACTATCGCTCAACAATTTTGACCTTAATGTGTATGACGTATTTTGGACAGTTGATTCGGTGTTTTGATTTGCCTTTGAACTACGCAGAGCAAATACTGTAGTTTTGAGTAAAAGAACTTTCGTTGGTATGCATCGTACCCCGCGTAAGCGTTAACATCCATTCTTCTCCCATAGTGGTGAGCCCTACAACAAACTACGTTTGGCAAACACGCAGACAATTTCTATGCGTTCGTTCCATTTTATATTTTTTCTTTTGTTATATTTATTATACTTGAAATCCTTTTTAGCATGAGTTACCGTACACCTGAGCTCATTCGTACCTGGCGAGACAATATATGGACATGGTTTCTGTACACTGACACCGACTGCTAAATAAATGGAGTCACCAATCCACATTCACAGTTCCTCGTTGTCATACACACTCTGTCGCGGGAATTGAGAAAGTGCATCACTGCTAATAAGTTCCCTTCGGAGAAAAGGAACCCCCCACGAGAAGCTTAAAGAGTGGTCTTTCGGATCGGCAGCATCTTGATGAACCCTTCCGCAACTCTGAGTTAGGGCATCATCTTCCCATACAATCGGAGAGCTAATCCCCCGGTCAGCGTAAGTTCGATAGTTTACTCCCTAGAGAAATGTTTTCATCTAAGTTGCCAAGGCCAGCACAGACTATGTTTGTGACACCTCGTGGTGTCGTTCTCGACGGTCTGGAGGCTTCAGCCGGCATAATTCTGGAACTGTCGGGGCGGCCAGTCACTGAAGTATGGTCGATCAATGCTCTGTCTTCAATTGGTGACTTTGAAATAATGAAGTTGTGCGAATCTGTTAAGCAACTACTTAGGTCAAGCAGTATCCACATTCCCTTCAGTCAAAGACGAAAATCACAACGACTTAGCAACTCAAGTTTTCTCACAGAATCTGCTCCACTTTCATCTGAGAACTTATACTAATCTTGGTATCAAAACACCAATGTCCAGGGAGGTAAGAGTTACCGAAAACACCACAGCTTCAGCATAGACTCAATCACTGAGAAAATATCATAGCGGCGTTTGTCAACAGCCGGTGGCAGTAGCTACCTATTCACACACCCAACCTCGAACAGTTTCGTTTTTAAGAGCTATGTGTTTCACTGATAGTTCAATTCCAAACAATGCATTGTAATGGCATTTCAGATGTTATAGTGAAGTTCACTGACTAATGACGACCCCACATAAACATAATCATTTTCTTTTACCTGGAAAAAATTATGGGAGTTTATTTTATTATTTCTTGGGACAATTAAGTGTGCATACAATATCACCCAGTGAATATCACTGTATGCATTCTTCAGAGAATCCTTTTAAATATGGAGCCAAACTATTACAGTTTGTGAATTTGTCCTTCGATAGTGTATGATTAATTTTCCGCAGTAGTTGAGATAATGGAAGCATTTAGCTGTCCAGAAACCAAGCAGGTCTAACAAAACTAGTGTGTTTAGTGTTAATTTGACCAGTAATAGAATTTATTACTATTCATTTGAATTTTGAGGGGAGCATACATTTTCAGCAGCTCATTACAATTTTATCTAGATCTCCACGATCCTTTACGGCTGTTCTCAAGATGGATAGTGGACTGTGACCTCTTCATCATGCGACGTTTCCTGTGTAATTTTGAGTCAATAAACTCTTCAACTGTTTTCTCAAGCCACACCTCGAATATTCTATATGTATTCACATCCGAGTGGAGAGTACTAGGTCAAACTAAAGGATGTGTTCTTTGATTATGATTTACCTTTCTTAACCTGTACCATTCTCCGGATTTTCGCGGAAGATATTGTTCTGATTTTCTCAATATACAAGCACTCTTGGAATACCAAACCGAAACTCTAAATTCATATATTTCACAAAGTTTTGTAGACTAGGGTGCTAAAGACGCTGGTTGCTTTCTAAGTTCACGATATTTCATTGAAGATGATTTGACCTGATAGCCCTTCCTTTACTCAATAGGAGCACTAATGATGGTATCTTTTAAAAGTTGAGTCTGGTTCAAGGTCATTCTCCTGAATGGACACAGTTTTCCAACATTTTCGATCTTACGAGGTAGTCATAAGCATTTAAATTCCTCCTGAAAGTCATATTAAGCTCACCTCTAGTTGATTCCTAATGAGTTATTGGGGTAATCAAGTTCGTCTGCTGTACTAGCCGGTTCAAACCCCAAGAAGGGAGGAGTTTTTGGGTGAATCCACCTCCGAAAGTCAGTCCTACAACAGTAAAAGTAGACAAAAACTACAGACGAACTTGAAACAATCAATCAAACTCATCTAGGTGAAAAGTAATATTTAATTTACATAAGAGAGGGGTGTTTACCATATTTATGTGATAAAAATGAGTTATACAGGGTACATATCTATAATATACTGCGAAAATTGGTCTCAGCTTCTCATAAGAGTGGTTATAGACATATCAAATCAATGTCGATACAAAGACTCATCTGAGTGGCTAAATGCCATATTGTTTAGGGAATCATTTGCCATTCTAAAACGTATTTTAAGATGGGTCCAGAATCTTCCAATAGAATTTAAATGGGTGCGGCTTATGAGATCCATCGATTCAGAAGAATGGCTGACTTCATGATGAATATAGCCTAGTAATGATAACTGCAAATAAACTCTCCAATCATCTGTGTGAATAGTAATGCCTGGGTGAAATAGTCGTATTATAATTAGTATTAAGACACCAGCATTTCCGTTTAGGATGCATTCTACAAACCTTTTTCGAAGATTTGTGTCGTACAGTACAAGCACTTAAACATGGTTTACTATAATCCTACCGAAATTCATTTTTCGTTAATTGAGTTCTGTTTCGTCACTATGAAACAAGAAAACAACTGCCAAGTAGAGAAGAAATTCTACTGATCTTCTGCGAATCAATATCACTAGGGTACAGATGCCACTGCACTGTTGAAATTTTAGTTATGGCATATACGCCTTATCTTACTCAGGGAGAGTTTCGATTTCGAGAAGTATCTAAAAAATCACCATAATGTACGACTTCTGAAGACTAAAGGTTTTGACGTTCACGGATAGTACGAAGTATACTAACGCAAGCTCTAATGCCCACAACTTTTATGGTATTCGTTCCGCGTAGACCGCAGGCAAAGCAAAACACCAGAATTGATCGCCCAAATTACGGAGTATATTTCAGGACCAAATCTTGGTGTGAGGTTGACTGCTTAACTAGCTATGGATCGTGAGTGGAAGAACAAACGCAACACGATGGTGCACCGAATGACGCGTCTGCTTGACCGGAAGCCTTCAGCTAAACAAGTTGACTTAAACAGTGAAGGTCAGCATGAAATGTTCAGTGATGAGTGCTGTGGCCAATAATTCTGGGGAATTACCCACCGCTACAGACTTATCAACTCCTATATAACAAGAGTTGCACGCAAACGTATAATCAGTAGTAGGGCGGGAATACTTTTGCATAGTCTTTATCTCCCCACATTTGCATGTTTTAGCTTTCCTTATCAACCATATTGCCCACACAGAAGTGAAAAATGGAATCTGTTTGAAACTTGCGACAGAGATCATGAACAGCATCTGTTTGCAGTGCCGAGGTATCTCATTGGTTAATTGAAGGTTATTTGACTTCGGCGTCTATTGTTTATTGTTACCTTCAATTATAATCACTACAAAAACTTCAAAGCACAGAAAACAAAATATAAAATATGGGTAATCTGAACAACCTTGAGACAGGGTCAGAGTTCCGGGGCACGTAGCGCCATTTATAATTTAACTTGCTGTGTACTCAATAACCGCAGTGGAGAATGTCGACACCTGACAGGAAGGCGGAGTTGGAAATGAAGAAGGCGAAGCTAGCCATCTTGAGGGAGAAAAAAATGATGAGGGAGAAATCGAAATTTGATGGTACCAATGGAGTAGCACAAGATGCTCTCAGCCCATCTCAAGGACTGCGAGATGAAGCGGAAGAACTTCTTCGAACCCTCGGCATTCCAGTGACTGATGAAACCAATCAAAGCTCAGACGAACATTCTTCCAAATTACACGTGGAATCCCCACAGTAGGTTTTCAGCTTTATACTCTTAATATACAGAACAAAACCCGTTACCCCAAAGAAAAGTAAAAAGTTGGGGTTTTCTGAAATATATGAAGTAAATTTGAGTCCAAAAAATCCGGTGTGTTATTCAAAGACAACACAAACACGTGATTCACCTGTCTCACGACATCCTGTACTTTCCGACTCTATGCGAAGCGGTAAGTTGTAAACTGATGATTGTAAGTTTTCTGCAGATTTGGGACTTGAGGTTATAGGATCTCCGAAGTTTACAAACCATTTGGAATGGGATGATGAGTTTTCCTTCGGTAAGTTGTCGCAAGATTAAGTCATATACGTCAACTCATATCAACAATTTTGCATTCTTCGAAATAGTCATTTTTGTTACTACCGTGGATTGCGATACGACTACGAATTATTTATCGGGGTTAGAATGCAGTGCTTCCATAACCTGGCGTAATTGTTTATACCCAGGGATGTAATCCAAATTTTATTTGGATTAGCAATCTTAATTAATCTAAATAATACTGCATGTATATATTCTTAAAAAGTTTGTTATAATCACCATATTTCATCACTACCTGGTGTTACGTATTTGTAATGTCTTTTACATGGTTTATTCTTTTTAAACCAGCTTTACCTTTTGACGGATCGACTGACGTGAACTTCTCACACTCTTCAATAATCGGTGAATTTGACAAATTGCCCCCCTTCATGCCAAAAGTCCCAGAGGAAGAAGAACAGAAGACCGTAAAAGGTTATGTCTCTGACAATTTTCTGTTGTTTTCACTTGTTTGTATTAAAGCATCAATTGAAGTAAGATTGTCTTGGTTTAATTTCGCGATCTGTATACTGTGAATTATTTATCTTAAAATCCACAGGTGAACTAAGTAACGACTTGTATCTAAAACGTCCATATGATAACCTTACTTTCGGGAGGATATCTGATACTTTTCTGTGTCGTATCTTGACGCTCATTATATATAGTGTCGCAAGCGTAACACGATTATTACTGATGTGATTATTTGCACAGTATTAGTTATATGTAAATTCATTTCGTATTTCGTGAATGCGTAAACCTGTGACACAAGGTGTGAAAAGTGACTGTAGGAAATTAGATAGAGTTATGCGTAAAGTATTCAACGATATCCAGCACTTGAAAGTTGTCTTTCCCGGTGGATAACTGGATCAATCTGGTAATTTGATGTGACCAGTTAATAGAATTCTTAAAACAATGGATGTAACATATTACTGCAGGTAGCACTTCATCTATCAAACTGCATTCTAATTTTTTTTTATGTCAGTTCACTCTTTCTGAGCCGAAGGGAATAATCTGAATGTTCGTGCTGATGTATTTCTACTGTATCGTTTGGTGTGGTAAAAATTTTTTCGTTCTCAAGGATGTATATCACTACCAGTTATCGTAAACGGCCCGTGTATCATTTAGAATAACATTTTTGAGTGCTTTTAATAGTTGTCACCGAGCAACTTTTATTTCAGTCATGTAGTTTCGTATGCTCAAAAGTATACCTGTTTTATGCACTGCATTACTACTTTCAATTTTGTGGTAGTGGCAGAGCTAAATGTTTGAAATCTTCCCATTAGTAAAAAGCGTCCAATACATGTTAAATAGCAACGTTGTGATTTCAAATGAAGACACTTTCCTGTGTGGTGCAAAACTAATGTTAGCCTTAATTTTACAGATAGTTAACTTTCTCAGAGATGCTTTTCGTTGTTCAGAGGGTAATTCTTCAATCATCCTTTTCTAGCTTGATCATCTATATTATACTAAACAATGGGGCAATTAAGTCGCACCACTATCAGTGTGTATAATATATATAAACCTTGGCATGGTGCTCCAACGATAATATTACTGTTATATTATGTTTCATTCCTTGAAACACATGCCCATTTTATTATGTCCTTTGTGGTCATTTTCAGTTACTCCTCTTTATATACTACCGATAAATCTGGTTAGTAGCGCACGCTACATATCTTCACCATCTTTATTAATTATAGTCACCTGAAGTTCTATCTTCGCTATCTGTTCTGATAACTTGTTGGTTTTCACTTGTAAATCGTCTAGTTTAAGTGAAATGAAATATAGATCATCTGCGAAATATAGTTTTATGGTCATTTTGTGGCTTCAACTTATGCTCCTCTCATTCCACACGGCTTGCTTCGTAATGCATTGTACTACAATCAAGAAGATTGTACGTGCGGTCCTTACAGTGCTTTGAAAGGAGTATCTTTTCAAAGCCCTTCGCACTTATTTCGTTTTTGGATTTGGTTCATGTATAAACTAAGGAGTTTAAAGTTAGATCATATGGTTTATTGTGTAAATATCACTGATCAACGTAGGTTGTCTCATATATTCATCACTGGAAGAAAGCCAAGGGCCGGATGGATTTAGAATAATATTCGACAGCTCAAGTACCCCATTTTTAGGGATTCTGATGAAAAATCAGGTAAGTTAAGAACTTTTTATGACGAGTTGTGGAGAATTAGCCACAAATGAAAGTGTTAAAGGATGAAATCTAATTTCTATGCTTATTTCGAAAGTCACAGCTGGATCTCCCATCTTTTTTATCGTTGACAATCATTCTGCATAAGATTGCTCGCATCTCTATGGAACAACTAGTATCGACTCATAAAAATATTTTTGTGTGCTTTGAAGGACTCAATAATTTAATCATTTGAAGAATCGCATGTTTTTTTGTTTATTTTGCGAAAGCCGTTATGACATTGGAATTCGGTATTTGTGGTCTGTAGATAACAACTTAAGTTTGGTCTTAGTTCTGTAGATGTACTTGCTCATTGTATTTGAATTTAGCATATTTTTTAAAACTTTTTTTGCCTAGTTATTTCTCTTAAACTTGGTTCTGCTGTACTTCTGTGCCAAGTTCTATGTTGAAACTCGTCAATCAGTCTATTGTCTAGTTTTATTTTTTTTTCTCTTCATTGCACTGCACCATGTATAGGTTATGTTTGTAAACCTTTAAGAGAAGCTTTATATCATGTTGGCTTATGATATGCCGCTTTGCTATAGAAGCTCAGTATTTAACTAGATCCAGTAGCCTTCTCATCTTTTGGAACCTTATATTTTATTTAAAGGTTTTTTCATCGACCAAATGTTTACTCTTTCTTTCTTCATAACTCGCAGATACAAAAAAGGAACTTACAGTAGAAGAAAGAGATGGGATTCTGGAATCCAGTAATTTTCTCCGCTTCTTTGATAAAGCTTCACGATTGATGGAGCGTGCATTAACTGAAACTTCAAACATTTTTGTGGATTATAGTGGTGGAGATCATGATGACAGTGGGTGGGTGTATTTTTTGAGCCTCCCTTTTTTAAAAGGCTTTCGTCATAATTATCACTTTTATAACTTGTTTTATATAATTCTTGAATACATTTTTGCGATGACAACTAGTGGTTTTGTTTTCTCGCTTAGTAGTCGTATAATTTAAATACTTGTAAACTGTAAAGTTTTGACAATTCAGTCGATTTAAGTTCATTTATTTGTTGTTCGTCTACACTTATTCAAATTATAATTAGACTACCCATAGTTCTATAGACAGTTTTAATTTAAGCCTCAAAGCAGATTATCGGCATAAATTTCTTTCGACAGCAGTGTGAAACTTATAGCGTGCATAAATAACAGGTAGGTCGTTAACATATATATATGTATATATATATATATATATATATATATATAGCAGTATTATCAGCTAGTTCTTTGTAAATTAACACAATTTAAACAAACTAATAGTGTAACTTATTACCTAGGTTTTATGATGCGGAGCAACATGCAACCTGGAATAAGCTAAGCTGTTCATAATCATGCAATGATTCGTGTATATTCCTCTATAGATCAAATTTTGTTCCACAGGGCACTAGATGTAAATGTAGTACTGTGTTTCTTGTCAAAGGTGGATGCAGTTATAAACATTAAGATATAAATTAAACCTATTGTAAACGTAGGATGCATGCACTTTTGTGAAATATGATTCCATATTATAGAAGTTAGTTTGGTGTAACTCAAAGTGATACAGTATTGGTATTGGATAACAATTTATTGCTCATAATCACACCAATTCATTCACACGGTTTCATAATTTACTTTATATGTTTTTTCTCTCCTTTTTGTTGTGTATTTCAATTTCCCATGTATCCGGGATAGGCATTGCGTCATTTCGTTTCCACGTGTTTGATGTTGAATCAATGGACAAATTTTCGTTGACTCACCCCTCTCTCTCTCTCTCTGTGTGTCTATATTACGTTTTAGTACTTTTACCGTAACCCATTCTATTGTGTGAGATTGCATGCAAGTGAATTCACTGCAATGACCGACTTTTTCTGGATTTGAACAAAGCAAGAACAACAATTGTACCAGGATAATATGAGCTCATCTTTTATTATTTCGAGGATTCTTCTCAACTGGTTACAACCTGAACGATAAAAAATATGAATTACATTACATTAAAGATTTGAACATACTTTTCCACGATCACAAGGAGTAATTGGTAGGAAGTAAAAGTAACATTAGTCCGGAATGATTTAACTAATTAAGGGTTACAAACACTGACTATTTATAGAATAATTCAAATGAACTGTGATCAATATTTGACAGTTTATAAATATTTATAGAATACCCACTAAGACATTGAAATAAGAACAAATTAGTTCAGCAAAGAGCCTTCCAAAATTGACAAGCTTCCGTATACTTTGTATTGCCGAAGCCTTAGCGATTTGGATAGAAAAACCTGATTTATGCACACAGAAGAAACTTCTCCACCCCCTCCTACTACCGTGGGTTTAATTTCAAGTTTATCTGTCATCAACATTCAGTTATCAAATTTTTTGCAATTTTCGTATGATAATTTTTAGTAAATAACCCATTCAATCTTTTCACCTATTATCTAGTTTATTTTCACAATTGTCTCCATACTCCTTCACTAACATGTAATCTTTCTAAACATGTCTATATTACGTAACCCTACTCACATCTTACCAATCTTCACCCCACTTAGTTACAACTTTGATTACTAATCACGCATTTTAATTTTTTTATTATTTTGATGATGTAATCAACAACGGACACCAACTGTTATTTTGATTTTGACAAACCTAATGTACACACACACACACACAAAATTAGTTGTATATAATTGCAACTGTACAGCTAAGTGAATGAATTCGCCGAAAAGAGACTCTTCGCTGAACTAATTTGTTCTTATTTATGGAATAATTAGGCAATTAGGCTTGGAAACAAAAACAGAGTTGCGTATATATATATGTGTGTATAGAAACAAGGTTTAGCTAGACAGAGCATAACAAAAACGTAGATTACGTAACTAAAGAAAATGCTTTATCTAATAGTTAATAGAAAAAGAATGAAGAGAAAAGAACAAGAAAGGGTGAGTCATGTTTAGATGAGAGAGTAGAGTTTTCTAAACAAGAAGCAGTTGCATCAGACGACTTAAAACAAATCTATGTAAGCAGAAAGAGACAGTGGTGAATCTTACACTGCCCTGGTGACAACAAAATATACAACTTGTATGAGTCACCTTTTTCTTGTTTAGAAAACTCTACTCTCTCATCTAAACATGACTCACCTTTTCTTGTTTTCTCTTCTTTTTTTTCTATTAACTATTAGATAAAGCATTTTCTTTAGTTACGTAATCTACGTTTTTGTTATGCTCTGTCTAGCTAAACCTTGTATCTATACACACATATATATTTGCAACTCTGTTTTTGTTTCCAAGCCTAATTGCCCAATTATTCTATAAATATTTATAAACTGTCAAATATTGATCACAGTTCATTTGAATTATTCTATAAATAGTCAGTGTTTGTAACCCTTAATTAGTTAAATCATTCCGGACTAATGTTACTTTTACTTCCTACCAATTACTCCTTGTGATCGTGGAAAAGTATGTTCAAATCTTTAATGTAATGTAATTCATATTTTTTATCGTTCAGGTTGTAACCAGTTGAGAAGAATCCTCGAAATAATAAAAGATGAGCTCATATTATCCTGGTACAATTGTTGTTCTTGCTTTGTTCAAGTTTATTAATTGGAAGATTTGCATGAAGTTTTCTGGATTGTTTAACTTAGAAAGGCTCAACCATTCTAGGTGTAGGTCAATTTTATGTTCCGATATAATTATGAACAATAAGTTATGTTCAAAACGTCATCCAGTGAAAACTTTTATTGAGTGATATACCTAACAAGTACATTAATTTGAATCTGATTGACTCCTGTCTACTAGTTTTGACCTGTGCATTTGACCTCATAGTCGTTATATGGTATTTAGTAAATGGTCATGTTCCTATTTGAATCTGTCGCACCCTTAATTCTACGAAGTTTGTCTCTGAGTTGGCTAGTTTAAATTCCAACCTCATAGTTATTCACCAGTAAGGTTCTCATTATTTGTTTTATTTCATTATCTAATTTTCACGACTTTACAAATCAGACTTCTGGCTGGGTGACACATCAAACAAACCTTGGACGAAATTCATGCTATGATTAATCCCGTAATTTAAAAATAACTTGGTCATTGCAGTGTATTCGCTCGCTTCCAGTCACTCGACAGGGTAGGACAGAACAAAAATGCTGGAAAGGAATATACTTTGGTATAGGAAAAAAATTTATCCCCAAGTTTCTGTCTGCAATCTTGGTAGAACACTAATCTTGGTTATATGGGAAAATTATGATGGAAAAGTTGGCTATATAAAGTAAGCTAGAAAGTCGTGTAAATACATTGGTACGATAGTGAGCAATGCATTGTGGTGGAAGTATCATCCACTTATTAATACTCTGTCAGTGTGTTGTGTCAAATAATGTCATACTTCATGTGTTCGATTTATCAACACTCTGTCTCTTTTAATGGATTTTCTATATCTGTAGCTGCATTGCTAGGAGCTGAGTACTAACCTTTGCCAGCATGCCTTAAGAAAGTGGACCTATGCTTGAAGGCAATAATTGCAGGTTCCATAGTAGAGTAGCGGTTAGTGGTATATGGTGTTAGTTTCTTTTTACTTCATGTTCTTCAGATTCCTTTTTGACTAACAAAGGTTTTCCCAATAGGAAAATATCTTGAATTCGAACGCAATGGGCATAACTCATATTCTACTTGTGATCATTGAACTGAATAGATGTTTTTGTGCACTGTTTCTATTTTTCCCCATTATGTTGTTAGTCTTATTTTTCTCTACTTTTAGAAACACTAAACGCCATGAACTTGTGGGATTTAATCGTGATTTTTTCGATGAGCGCTGGTCAGGAAAACGTTGTGTGACGGCTTTGGAGTGGTCACATGTTTTTCCTGAATTGCTTCTTGCAGCATATAGTTCGAATGAAGATGCACAACACGATGCCAATGGGGTGTGTTTAATATGGAATATAAAATTTCAGAAGACGTCTCCAGAGTATATTTTTTATTGTCAATCAACTGTTACTTCAGCAACTTTGGCAACTTATCATCCCAACTTGGTTATTGGTGGAACATATTCCGGACAGATTGTGTTGTGGGATAATAGGTGAGTATTCTACTAATGTTTACTTCTACATCAATGGGAGGTTTTCTCTTGTTCCTGTCATGTTGTCATGCTGACAAAAAAGATGCTATTACTGATGCTTATTTTTTTTACAATTGCACATATGATTTTAACAATGTAAGGACATTAAGAGTTAAAGGTTGATAAATTTCCGATAAAATCCACTAAATGGCCTCTGATAGGTAGCAGAATACTGTACACAAACAGTAGACAAATGTCAAATGAACCTTTAGTTTCCGTGATGAAATTACGCAAACGATTAGTTTATTGGGTCTGATGCAAATTCCCGAATGAGTGAAATGGTCAGCATACTAAATCACTTCGTGCTCTGTCCTTAAAGTAAAGTTGATTCAGAGTACTCTTGTAGCACTATCTTACTTTTGATGATGATGAAGAAGCGTATACTCTACATTTTCGAGCTTTCGTCTTGACAGTTCTGAAGACTTCATTTTATTGGCACCTTCATCGTAATGATTCAATCTTTTGCGATATTTTTGTAGTAAAATGTTGATTTCTGCTTTATCTAAGCTAAAACTTGTCACCATCTCAACTAAAAAACCTGTAATAAACTCATCAATGGTTAGCACTGAGTATCCATACGGGATGCTGGTTTGTCATCACCTCACATGACACTTCTTCGTAAACTCTTATATGATTGCATGAGTTCAGGTAGACTGCATACTTCCTGGTCACTCTTCTTCACAGTCACACACTGGTATACAGCTTTTCAATAGACGAATTTAAATACCACCTTCAAGTCAAGAAATACACCAATCTGATGTAAATATCTCATTTGGCCATACAAAATAATGTTTCGACTAACCTAGTCCATTATTTATCGCCATCATCTGTAGAATTCTCTAAGTCCAAGTCATCAAATCTTGTTACTCCACTGCTTCATAGATTGGAGATGGTCAGATAAGTATGAAATACCGTATTAATGTCGTGTGTCATACATTAGTGTGTTCATTTTTCTTCTATTACAAATCTTATCGGAAACTATTCTGTGAAGGTAGTGTTTATCACATTGGAGGCGTCTTCACTATCAGTTTTCTTGGTAATAACAAACGTACAATCTACATAGCAGACTCAGTAGTATTTTTCATAGGTTTTTGAGATTAGATGACAGTTTTAAAATCTAATGTAACAGACTGGAGGTAGAGATTGATAACGAAAGCTTTATTTATAGAATCAACTGCAAACACATAGAATAGGAATGATTCAACACATGTCCACCCGGACATCTGGAAAATTCTGCTAACCCCACGATGAATAGGAAATAACAAAGAAAACTACAAAACGAAAGTTTCGAAGTTGTATGATTATAACTGACATGATTATGAACAATAAATTGTGTTCGAAACTTTGTTATCCAGTTAACAATAATACTGTTTCACTGTGTGATATACCTTTTTATGCAAACAAACAAAACTTTTGTTGTCGTAATTTATTGCTGATTGGCCAATCTTACACTCGCTTGAAAAGCACAAGAACACATACACTGAAGCGGGATTACTCGGATCCATTTTATCTCATAGGTGCTATGTACAAGTTATGACACCCAGTTAAACCAGTTATGATACAATTTTCAGATACTTTAGTTCAATAATATAAGTCAGTCTTCCAGTAATAGAATTATATTACAACGTCATAGTGAAGTAAAACACAAGGATGTAAAGTTTTTGAAAATCTTTTTAGAACGAATGTTCTAGCATCCAAAGCTTCAGTCTGGATAGATCACGAGAACCACCTCTTATGCTATGGGTCGCAATGGGAACAAAATCTCTGATTTGAATGCCGATAAAACTGCCCGATGGGGGTCCCACGTAGGATGAAACTCGAGTGGTGGATATCACTCCTAGCCACCGTCTACCACATTGCATCAAATTAACCTGAAGATATCGTGCTAGAAGTCGATTTGCTAACAGAGACCTCATATAAAGTATAATTATATTTTAATAGTTTACACACAATGATAAGTTTTGTTATTGGTAATATTTCGAGCAAAATTACTGCCCGTGTTCACACCAGTGTTGGAATTGTTTGATTCGGAATCAAACAATTCCAACACTGGTGTGAACACGGGCAGTAATTTTGCTCGTAATATTACCAATAACAAAACTTATCATTGTGTGTAAACTATTAAAATATAATTATACTTTATTTGATCTAATCCACAATGCTCAAACTTTTTACTGATAGAGACATCATATTTTAATCTGATAATATCAAAAGTTTCAACAAGGAAGTGTCACTGAACGTGTTAAGATTTCAGATATTTATTCTCTTCACATTTGTGCATAGTTTCATTTATGTAGTTAGTATCCATGGTAAATTTCCATTAGGAAGTGTTATTTATTATTATTTATTATTTATTTAAACGCAGAAAAACTTGGTACAATATGGCACCAAGAAAGATGCGCCACACAATAATAATAAAACAACATAGATTAAAAGTAAAAATATAAGTAGAAAACGGATAAAGAACTTCATCTGGAAGGAAAACAGTCATGTTTAACAAGTTCAAACAGTATTCGTTAACTATCATCAGGAAGGGAAGAAAGAAGGAAATTGCAACACGTTCGCCATTGATTACGATTCTTGGCCATATCCGATAACGTTTCGAGCCATCGATTCGAGCTATCTCGCGGACCCCAACCAGGGAGTCGTGACACACCAACCGATGCTAATCTAGCACAAATATCCTTCATCCCACGACGCCACGTCATGGACTGACCACCCCTCCGCCTTTTCCATCCCGTCCCAGGGCTAGCGAACAGAGACCTGTACGGAAGCCTCTGGGATGACATTCGCAGCACATGTCCAAGCCACCGGAGCTGGTGTTTCCAGATGACGACACTCAATGAATGGTGATCTCCACTGTGTTCAAACACACGCCGCCGAACCTCAGAATTACTCACGCGATGATGCCATCGAACGCAAGCAATCCTGCGGAGACAGCGATGATCGAACACGCAGAGTCGCCTCACATCCTCAGCTCGGAGAGGCCAGGTTTCACAGGCGTAGAGCAAGACAGCCCGCACCGAAGCATTGTATACCCGACCTTTGACAGCCAGGCTAACGTCGCGACGGCGCCAGAGGTGGCACAAGTTGATGTATGCCACCCTAGCCTTCATTATACGGTTGGAAATCTCATCCGTCACCCCTCCGCCAGCACTCACACAACTACCCAGGTACACAAACTTATCAACAACTTCAAGCGGTTCACCCGCAAGAGTGAGTGCAGGTACAGGCTCCTGCCAATCTTGTAACAGTACTTTGCACTTAGACGGTGCAAAGCACATACCATACTTACAGACACTGATCGCCAACTGATTAAGTGCGATTTGGGCAGCCTGCATGCTATCGCACAGTAAGACGATATCGTCTGCATACTCGAGGTCGAAAAGTCTATCTCCAGGTAGCAGATCTACACCACCTTCACGCACATCCTTCAGAGCTGACTCCAGAATGTCATCGATGGCAAAGTTAAAGAGAAATGGAGAGATTGGGCAACCCTGTCTAACCCCACTGTTGGTTGGGAACAGTGATGATAGTTGGTTGTATGCCCTCACTCTACCTGAGGTGTTTCTGTATAGGGCTTTCAAGATGTTAACAAATTTCTCAGGTACACCTCTCTCTAACAGACAGTTCCAGAGCACAGTTCTGTCCAACGAATCGAAGGCAGCCCTAATATCAAGAAACACAACGATCGTTGGCCTGCAATACGTGTGGCGGTGTTCCAACAACTGACGAAGGGTGAACACATGATCAATGCATCCACGACCTGAACGAAACCCAGCCTGCTCTTCGCGAATCAATCCTTCACGTATTTTGCACAGCCTGCGAAGCAAGACAGCAGCCAATAATTTAGACGCGACTGGTAGCAGACTGATACCCCTATGATTGTCACACGAATTACGTCGACCCTTTTTAAAGATAGGGACGATAATGGCTTCGTTCCACATTGATGGTACACTCTCAGTTTCCCATACCTTCCTGAACAACCCAGTTAGAGCCATTGTGAGAGTCTCGCCACCATCTTTAAAAAGAGCCGGGGGTAAATTGTCTGGGCCGGGCGCCTTATGGCGTTTTAACACTTGGAGTTCCTTACGGACCTCCGCTTCGGTGGGTGGGTCGGTATTAACCGACCAAGGAGCACTGGGGCTAATGACAGCAGACATTGAAGCTGGTGGCCAGCTAAACTGTTTCCCGAAGTGCTCTGCCCAGCGTTCCAGGCGTCTTTTCAAGCTGGTAATTGGCGTGCCATCTGCCTCACAGACCGTCTCGCTGACACCTTGTTTCTTGCTGCCGGTGGCTCGGATGAGTTGGAACAGCTTCCGACTGTTGCCAGATGCAGCAGCTGACTCCATCTCACCCGCACGTTCTGACCACCAGGCCTCGCGGTCCTTACGTAAACACTGTCTTATCTTGCGCGTCAGCGCCTTTCGCTTATTGCTGTATTCGCTGCCAGCCGGAATGGACCGGCGTTCATCCAGGAGTTGCAAGGAACTCGCAGAAACCCAGTGGTTTTTGGCGGAGCATTCTTTCAAGCCGCAAGCGGCTACACTAGCTCTTTGCATGGCACCTTGCAGATGGAGCCAATGTTCATCTATACTACTTGGGGGGTTGCTGGCAAGCATTGATTGTAACTCATTCTGATATTTCAAACAAGTAGCAGGTGCTACTAGTTTGCTCACATCAACGTTTAGACGACGCCTTTTATGAACCCCACCAAATCGCAAGACGAACTTGGCACACACTAACGCATGATCGGAGTCCAGGCATGTGCTCCAGAAGGAGCGACAGTCTTGTATGCATCCTCGCCACCGGAAACTGACAGCAATGTGATCGATCTGAGTCCAAGCTTGGTTCGCAGAGGGAGGACGCCAGGTAGCGCTACGGCGATGGTTGTGCCGGAAGTTGGTGCTGGCCAGAAATAGGTTGTGATCCGCGCAAAGCTGCAGAAGACGGTCCCCATTATCTGACCTGCGACCATGTAGTCCCCATTGACCACCTAGACGATTCTCCTCTGAGCTCAGACGCCCGACCTGTGCATTCAAGTCCCCAGCCAGCACTACGATATCCCTCCGACCCGCCTGTCTCAAGAGATCGTTAAGTTGGTGGTAGAACTCGTCCTTCATTGCATCCGGGCTGCAATCTGTTGGTGCATAGGCAGAGACAACAAATAGACACCGCCTATCTGGCCTACTACTCCTTACTTTCGTATAACCTTCCAGCCTCACAGCACATAAACGACTGTTAATGGGAATCCAGTCGAGCAGTGCAGCTTCGGCTCTAGCGCTCAGTGCGACGCCGACACCAGCTACGCCGGATGCCGACGCCACAGGGTCCCCGGACAAGCGCAGGTGGTACATACTACTAGAACTTCCAGATGGAGAGGATAATCGAAGCACTTCACTGGGATCTTGAATGCGAGTCTCCGAAATGCAGCAGACATCGATAGCGAGGCTTTCCAACGTTCTTACCAACCCTGCCTGTTGTCCGATTTGCATCAGCGTCCGAACATTGTAGGTGGCCAGCTTGAACGCGGCACGCGGTTTCAGGATATCTGTGTTAGATGTCACATTGGGGACAGCCATTTTGAGGGTTACTCACTAACATCTCGAAACGACACAGATAGGCTAGGAATCCAAACAAAGGCGAAAGGCTGTCGAAGGTTAAGAAGTCAAGGTGAGCAAAGGTAAAATACAGGAAACTAAGTATAAAAATAAAAGTAAGGTTGGAAAGAGATATATCAACTGGGACATCATTATTGCTTGAGAGCATTGTTAAGAGCGCGCGATGAGTTTCACTGATAGTTTGTTGCTTCATTTAATTAATTGTGTGAGGGCTGAGATACTGCCCGGGCGCCCAGACCGAAGCAGGTGGTTTTCTTAAGGGACCACCCCCCGAGCCTTTGACTTGGAGTCTAATCCGCAAGGCAGCGGAGCAGCGTCAGGTGCTGCGTTCCCATGGTTGCCGGTGACCCATATGGGTTCGTACGCCATTTGATCCGATTGGATTCTGGAGCCCATGTACCCCATGGTAACTGCTTTTAGTCTAACCGCTATCCAAACAACCTTCCTGGCATGGTAGGACCTGCAGGGACATGAGTCCCAGCCAGTTTAGCTTGTTGGGTCACTGCGGCATTCAAGCCCGACCACCACGGCAAGGTAGCAGTTATCGGTCGGGGAAGAAGTGTAGAAAATGAAAGAAGTGATTCAGCGAAGAGACTTTTTTCAACGAATTTATTATCAAGCCGTAAAATCGTGTATATATGGCATTTTTAAAATAATATGATTTGCAACAAAATATTTGTGATTATATTTATTGTTAAACACCAAGTCACAGAATAGTTTATATAATTTATAAAGTAGTTCTTGGAATGTGCGAATTTTAGAGACGGGTGTAGAATCAACAAGACTAGTAGGTTACGTAAGAATTTTGATGACAGCGTAAAAAATCATACTGGATTGAATAAACAAGTGAGAAAAGACTGAAAGTTGTCCGTAGTGAAAAGAGTACCGATCGTAATAATGAGTTACGGTTATACAAACTGAATAGGCGAAACGAAAAAAAATAAATAGGGCCGATGAGTACTACAGTAATTTAACATAGTCTGATTAGGACTATGAAAGTAGTGTGGTTGAACAAGCGCTTTCTGCATACAGAGTTCTAGTGATTCTATTTCGATCTCCAAAGCCTGAGCGATACAAGTGGGTCGAATGCTCAATTATTTGGGCAAGTTATTTCTTGCTTAACAAATGACTTCAAGGTAAGAGGTTGTTCATACAAGATGATCAGTGTCGACCAAATTTTCTACTACCACACCTCGTATAGGTCCACTTCCACATGTTAACCGCGCAGGACAGTGTTCTCATAATTCTCAATTGTTGTTTGTTTAAGTTTATCTAACAGTTGTAGTCTTTTTGATTAAATATATATGAAGTGTATTCCTAATGTCTGTCTCACGCGTACAACACAATCGCGTGTAGATTATAACACTGAACCGTGGTGTGCACCTTTTATGTTATAACTACTGATGCTATCTGTCTGCATAAACTCTAGTATGTGATTTGAGTTGTGAAATGTCATTATTATAAACCAGTCTGATTTGTTAATAAAAGTAGCTTTGGTTGAGTTGGTTTGCAGTCATGTGAATTTGCGTTTTTGGGATAAATTTTTGTGAAAAATTTTGTAAAATTCACAGTATTTAACTATAGTTTTGTTTTTGAAGTCACAAGCGGAAATCGCTATGAAAAATGTACTGATCACAGGACAGCTGTCGTCTCTAATTTCTCACTCTTCAGTGATGCGCCTCCACCACGCAATCAGAGGTTGAATCCAAGACCAAGACAACCGCATTTTGACTTTTCACTTATCTGTTTGAAATCTGATAACCGCTAAATTCAAACTCCTATCTATAGGCAGTATAGCTCCACGATCATCCAATTTGTAACTATCTTCAAATCCGACTGGGTGGAATTCCTCTATCAACAATTTTCACTTTTTTGAATAGATACTTTCTGATTATGTGATCTTGTATTATTTCCAAATATATAAACTTTGACTTATGTAGGGGTTTTATGCGAAGCTATACATAAATATAACTATCACAGGTAATTGCATTTGCCAATTTAATCACAATGAAGTGTCATATTTGCCGAAAAAAATGAAATAATGAAAATAAAGTTTTTGAGTTGCTATTTGCTTTAGCATATCTCTAAGGTGTCAGCGTGTACACATGTGTTTGATATCAGTTTTCGTTTTAAAAATAATAAAGTATGACTGTTTTCTTCTAATTCATTTTTAAGGGCGAATAAACGTACCCCGGTACAACGAACTCAACTCTGTGCAGCTGCACATACTCATCCAGTTAAGACGGTTATGATTGTTGGGGGATTAAATTCACACCATCTATTAAGTGTAAGTTCTGACGGTAAACTGTGCACATGGAGTTTGGATATGTTAAGTCAACCTCAACAATCAATTGAATTAACACATAGGCAGGCACGTACTGTGGCTGCAACATGTATGTGTCTTGCAGATGCAAATGTCAACAGTTTTCTAGTTGGTGCAGAAGATGGGCGAGCTTACTCTGGTTTGCGTCATGGAAAGTAAGTTGAAACCTATTGTTGAATTTTTGTATCTGGTGGTTTGTCCGAAATAACATCTCTGTGATATATACATATGTACACTGTAATATATTTGAATTCTTTGCATATAATTCGTATTATATGTTATTTACAATTCTCTTTGCTTATTATTCTGTTAATCAATTTCAAACAGTTTATTAGTTGTATCACAACACACTGTTTAATTACTCTGAATTTATCGGTTCATATTTGGTTATAAGTTATAGTTTAAAGCACAAATGTATTTCTACTTAAGTGGTGATTGTAGCAGTATTCAAAGTCAATTCTATGTACAATTTCATCTCTTGTTCTTTATTACAAATGTTCCTTAAAATTTAGTAGTGGAAAAAGCCATGTTTTTCACTTCTGTGTCCGTGTTGAGATTTCGTGAGGGATCGGTCGGTTGTGAAGTAGTCAACACGCTGTACCACATCTCTCTGTATCTTTAAGCTAGGAGTAAGTCGATGTAGTCCAGTGCAATTGTGTAGCGTTATCTAACATATGATAGGAGCAGGGAAATTCAGTCGACAACTGCGTTGTGAATTTACATTGACTTAGATGGTTGGGACGTGTGTTGAAGTCACCTGCTAAAAGGACTGTATCTCAGCGTCTTCCGTTTCTCAGATAACTAGACTGTTTTTGGTGGAACTCATCCTCTATTTCGTTCAAACTACAGTCAGTTGTGGCGTAAGCGTAGATTGTGAAGAGACGTGGGCGGGTAACGCAGTTATTCCTTCCTCTAACGGACCTGTTCAGATGGATCGCACACACGTACTGGAACCCAGTGAATAAGAGATTTTTGTGCCCTAGTACTCAGTGGTATCCGTGCACCTGTGAGTCCTCTCAAACTCGCCGAAGAATTTCCTGACAGCTGTTGTTAGGTGACATAGGGTCAGGTTGAAAAAGAGCTTGTAGTGGTCAATCCAAAACATGGCCTTATCAGTCAATGGAATCTACAACAGTTAGTTTAAGTGACGTAGGAATGTGTAGAGTTTCTTGTTGGCTGGTTGTGGTCCTCTGGACGGTGAAAACCAATGGTGGCTGGAGACAATTGGTGATATGGCTCGAAATCGTTCTCAGTGGTGCAGATGCATCCACTCTTTGTGACTAATCCAATAAAACTATATTGTTCTTCGATATTACTATTCTTTTCGCTTCATATCTCTGTTTACTGTCTCTACTTTGCATTTCGTTTTACTTTCTTCTCATGCTTTGTGTGCTTGGTGAAGTGTGGTGACTCGAACTGCTGCACATCTGTGCATAGTTCGAGTTGACACACTCCATGTAGCACACAAAGCAAGAGAAGAGAGTAAAGAGAAATTCATCCTGTTCGCGAGGTGTGTTTAACTGAATAACCACACTCGGGTGTTGTATGCGTGTGTCCGAAAGACAATTTGAGAATGCATGGCTGCAGATACAAGAATTTTGGTTAGTGATGACTGTTGTCTGATTGGGCAGAGGTTCCTGACGTTAAATGTGCCAGTAAGAAGTTGGCTGCGTGGCTTTAAGAGACTATGGTTAGTGTTTTTTTGCCTGTCGTCACTATTATTGGTCGGAGAGTGAAGAGAAGATGGTGGGCGGAGATTAGAATGTAGAACAGTATTGACAGTAGGAGGGAAATCAGATGGTTGTAGTGATGGTGGCATAGATGTAGGTGGATAATGGTCAGGAGAGCTTTGTGTGCTTTTGTTAGTGTGTGGTTGGTTGTTACTTCGCAACTGGCCCCAGCATTTATTGAAGTGGATTATTTCTTGAGTTACGTGCAACAGGAAGCGAAAGAGATTTATTGTTGCTTGACGTCAGTGCCTATGGGACTATTGCTTGAGGTTGGTCACACACGATGACCTGTTTGAATTGACCTTTCTGTTTGGTTCCGTATCAGTAGCTTACCGTCGGTTACGGACCACTGTGATGTAAGTCGGGATGTACAGTTCTCGGGGTCGAGCTTTTCTTATCCCCAATCTGAGGAGAGGGCAAACAGCTTAGCTGGCCTGCTCGTCATCTGGGGAAAACACGTTACTGTTGTTAAATCCCTTCTGCTCAGCAGTACGACTTTGCCCACAAACCCTCCGCGTGATGTAAAATTTCTTACACTGTGCCGGTAACTGTTTTTAATCTAGTTGCTGTCCTAACAATCTTCATGGCATGGTAGAACATGCAAGGAACATTAGTTCCAGCCGGTGTAGCTTGTTGGGCCATTGGGACATGCAAACACGACCGCGACGTCAATGTGGCAGCTATTGGTTGGGCATTAATACAGCATTAATAACGGTACAACTTTTCGACCATAATATATTGTTCGTTATCATATCAGTGAATATGTACGATTTCGTAGCCCCTTTATATATAGCCTTATTTCACTTGTACGTTGAAATTTCTTTGACAATTATTAGGTTGGCTTTTAGGGGTAGAGTCGCTAGCCCCACTCCAAAACTTCCGACCTTGGCGGCCTGCTTAAATCTTGGGCTACCAAATACCTTATTCATTACAAATCATATTGCATCTAATTGCTCATTTCCAATTTATTTTAAACAATTAAATTTTATTCTAATATGTCCTCTAATCGGATTATTTATTCTCGTGAGTATTTAATATCCTTAAAACCTACTGATCGGAAATGCCATAAAAAAGACAAAAAAAAGCATCATGCCGGGTGGCAAAGAGCCTTAAAAAACACCCCTATTCAATTTATGACCGTCCCTGCAATCATGAGTACTAACTGTCGCTCCCTGCCAGCCAAGATTAACTGTCATCAATCACTTGTGTCTTCCATTATATATCGTAATACTGGGATCATATCACTTCAAGAAACATGGCTACATGATCTATACGATGACAATCTAGTGTATCTGCATGATTTCAAACTATTCAGACAAGATCGATGTAGTTCTAGGAAGAAACGTGGTGGCGGTGTCGCCATCTTCATAAATTCACAATGGTGTATATCTAATAAAGTATGTTTCAAATTCTCTAGTGACAACATTGACTGCCTCACCGTCAAATGTCGACCTAAGCATTTGTCAAAATATAACTACATATACATCTCAAACATTTATATTGCGCCTGGATGCAATTCCACTGAATTGTCTTTATTTGCTGATGAATTTACCTCCTTTGCTGCCACCTCCTTCGGAAACGCCTTGTCTATAGTTACTGGAGATTTCAATTTTAGTGATCACAGTTTCCTTATTTCACTTGGTCATGATAACATTGTCAACTTCCCGACTCGAATGGATAATATTCTAGATCTTGTGTTCACAAATGACATTAGAATATTTGAAGCTCGGAAAAGAGCCCCACTACTTAACTCTGATCACTGCATCATAAGAGTATTGCCCAAGGTATATGGAAAGCTGCACAAAAGGGTCTTCTCCCACCTTGGAAAGAAAACACAACACAGATGTTATTCACATGACAACATACAGAATCTAAGGACAATGTTAAAAGACACAAACTGGGACCTGTTTACTGAACAAGCTCTTGACAACACAATTAGTAACATAACACATTATCTCAATTTCTGTCTTGATACTTGTTGTCCTAAAGAGACAATCTTCTTAAAGTTCGACCGTTTCGCCTCTTCTCAACTCAAAAAGCTTCGCCGTGAAAAAGAGAGGTTGTACAAAATGAGAAATAAATCTGGCGTTAAGAGAATGAACACTTTAATTAAAGCCGAATTACAAAGACTAAATGGTCTCTATAACCAAAAGCTTCTTTCATGTAAATCCTCATCTAATATGTGGAAGCTATTAAAGGAAATCACAGGTGGTAAGCAAATAATGAATGATACTTCCGTTGATGTTGATATGCTTAATAAATCCTTCATATGTATCCCTGCAGATGTTATGATTCCCAAATCTAATAGTATAAATAATGACTGCTTCTCATGTTTTAACACGAATGATGTCCTCAAGTGTCTTCAATCTCTCAAACCTACCCAGTCCCTTGGTCCTGATGGAGTTCCTGCTGTTATCCTTAGGATGTGTGCTGACATCTTATGTTACCCATTAACTGACATTTTCAATGAATCTTTTTCCAAAAGTAGTATTCCTGACTCATGGAAAAATATCAAGGTTGTTCCAGTGCCCAAATCAACAAGTGGACCTACTGTCAAGTTTAGACCCATTGCTATTACCTCACCTTTTTTAAAAGTTATGGAAAGACTTATTTTACTTAATCTTGAACCCTCTTTAAAGCCTTTTAATGACCCCAACCAGTTTGCCTATAAACATAGTAGGTGTACCTTAGATGCCGCTGTAGTTCTATATCATAATATAGTCTCTAGTTTAGATAGAGGAGCCAAATATGTTCGGTGTGCCTTCCTTGATTACACATCTGCATTTGACTCTGTACCTAGGTCTCTCTTGTTAAGTAAGCTTGCTGCAACACAGAGTGAGAGCTGGATAAATAAGTGGTTGTATTCCTACTTTTCTGATAGGAAGCAGTACACTGTCTACAATGGAAAGTCCTCCACTACCTCACTTACTTTAGCTGGTGTTCCTCAAGGTGCTGTTCTTTCTCCATTTCTGTTCTCTTTTTTCTTACATGACTTGCCCCATTCTGATGTAGCAAATTTTGTCAAGTATGCTGATGACCTCTCTGTCTCCATGCCTGTCAACTCTCAGTCAGACTGTTCCATATTAAATAACTTTCTCTCGGAAATTAGTCAGTGGTCCTCTTCAAACGGTCTTAAGCTGAATCCGTCTAAATGTCAGGTAGTAAATTTTACTTTCAGACGAAAAAGTGACCTACAACAACTAGCTAGCTCACATGGTCCCACTATCATTGACGGCATAGAGGTTGAAACTACATCTAATGTCAAGTACCTTGGACTGAGTATTTCCTCCGATCTTTCCTGGTCCTCTCACATCTTGCTAGTGACTAGAAAGATGTTTCGCTTAACGTTCTACGTTAGGAAGTTTAGGCAGTCTGGTATAAAGCAGTCTTTGCTTTCTCAGTTTGTCAATTCCTGTATTCTACCCATCCCTCTTTACTGCTCCCCATTAATCTTCCCTGGACTACTTAAGAAAGACTTTGCTTCGCTGCATAGGGCACTAAAAGCTGTTAGTAGGGGAAGTGGGATTTCGTTAAACCAATTGGTTAGCACAATTGTGGATAGACATATAATGTCATGTAAGAAACTAGCGAATTCTATATTGTCAGACCCCGAACACCCTCTCCGTACGCAGCTCTCTCCTTGCATTTCATCTGGTAGAACTAGAAGCAACTATAGGAAGCTATATGCCAGGACTACCAAGTATAAAAACTCCACAATACCTTATCTGGCACAGCTGTTATGTGATGAGAAAACTGTTAGGCATGACACGATCAACTTACTGCGGCACTCTAACAAATAGTTCCCATTAGCTTTTGTTCTCCTTTCTTTGTTACTATTATATTTTTGCTCATATATTCTATTACAGACTAATTTTATATATCATATCCTGTGGTGCATTGTTTAAATATGTGAATGCAATGCTGTTCTTTTTATTTCTTTTATTTCTCTTTTTTCTTTTTGTTGTTGTTGCTTTATATTTTTAAATCCTTATAAAATTTATGAGGCAATTAGATGCAATATTGTAATGCACGCTGAAAATTCCATACCTGTACCACAAATACTGTTTGGAATAAAGCCATTATTATTATTATTATTATTATTATTATTCCTCTTTTTCGTGCCTGGGACCGGTTGGTTAGTAAACTAGGCTAGTTTTTGTATAGCCTTACACCCTCCTTTTTGATTGTATTTTTCCATATGTGCGAGATAGGTGTTAAGTGATTTCGATTCCACGTGTTTGATGTTGGTTTGATAAGCAAAGGTGCAGTGACTAACCTGTCTACACCGAACTAGATTACTTTTTGATACTTTTACCGTATCCTACTGATTACATGCAAGCAAACAGTGAACGGTATGAGGTGCTTTTGGGATAACTTTCTTTTAAACCTCAAGCGGCTTTTAGTGTTGTCTTGTATTTACAGGCAATGCTGTTCTATACTATTTTGGCGGGTCGGGTGTGTGTGTTTGTAGATTAATAACTAGCCTTGAGTCCAATTATGTTTGATACTTCCCAGTGGTGGATTTATTATTTGTAATCAAATATTGACAAGTGAGATTTGTGTCTATCAGATAAACTAGGACTGTAACTGCAATTGCGAATATCAATGCAATGCCTTCTTTCTTAGTCTAGTTGCAACTTAGCCTAGCTTTCTTTAGTATTCTTGAAGTATGTACAATCGATTTCTAAACACTATTTGTACCGATACCGTAATTAGTTGATGTAACTAGTGTTAGTTCATTCCAGTCTTATAAATCAAGTAGCCGGTTAGTTGTGGCGTATTCATGCAACAAATTTAAACAGTCACAAACAATTTTAGTGGCGGAGATTTGTTTATTGCACCTACATGATATGTTTTAGTCAGAAAAATATCTGACCTATTTGTCAAAACTCATTCAATTAATTCTTAATAGATAAATTGAGATCAATTTTTCATTTGAGGCAGGAGATCATCGAATCCCGGTTAAGCTTCACTGGCATATTGATTCAACAATTTACTTTCATTGAGTTTGGAACTCATAAATTGTTGATGCTGTTGCTCACCATATTTGATGAACTACTTGCACAGTTTGAGTTCAAAATGAACACACTGAATGATGTTGAAAACCAGTTTGGATAACGTAAAATTTATTGTTCCTTTCGCAGTCTTTCTGGTATCATCGAAGCATATGAAGGTCACCGAGCCCCAATTTTTTCAATTGCGTCGCATCCTATTGGAGAAAGTGAACTATTTTCTCCACTGTTTCTTACTACATCGATGGACTGGACTGTCAAATTATGGTCGGTTAAGGATAATGTTCCTCTCTGCTCATTCAATGAATTCTCAGACTATGTTTTTGACGCCCAGTGGTCACCTGTACATCCATCTGTATTTGCTACTGTGGATTGCGAAGGAAATCTTTGTTTGTGGAATTTGAATAAAGATATGGAAGTAAGTTATTTTACTTTCTTTTTCCCCTCTAAATTATGTTTTTAACTTTGTGAATGTAACAGTTGAAAATTATTGTTTCATTACAGGATATCTTCTGAAGTGTTGTCAGTTTAATTTTAGTAAGGTGAATCAATATAATGAATCAGCGACTTTGATAAGTTCTCGACTAAGTTAATATGTGAGAATAATACTTCTCAAACTGACGCAACTTCCCTACTTGGGCACGGAAGTTGCTTGTTAAAATGACTGTATCAGTGTCTTCCGTTTCTCAGATAACTAGACTGTTTTTGGTGGAACTCATCCTCTATTTCGCTCAAACTACAGTCAGTTGTGGCGTAAGCGTAGATTGTGAAGAGACGTGGGCGGGTAACGCAGTTATTCCTTCCTCTAACGGACCTGTTCAGATGGATCGCACACACGTACTGGAACCCAGTGAATAAGAGATTTTTGTGCCCTAGTACTCAGTGGTATCCGTACACCTGTGAGTCCTCTCAAACTCGCCGAAGAATTTCCTGACAGCTGTTGTTAGGTGACATAGGGTCAGGTTGAAAAAGAGCTTGTAGTGGTCAATCCAAAACATGGCCTTATCAGTCAATGGAATCTACAACAGTTAGTTTAAGTGACGTAGGAATGTGTAGAGTTTCTTGTTGGCTGGTTGTGGTCCTCTGGACGGTGAAAACCAATAGTGGCTGGAGACAATTGGTGATATGGCTCGAAATCGTTCTCAGTGGTGCAGATGCATCCACTCTTTGTGACTAATCCAATAAAACTATATTGTTCTTCGATATTACTATTCTTTTCGCTTCATATCTCTGTTTACTGTCTCTACTTTGCATTTCGTTTTACTTTCTTCTCATGCTTTGTGTGCTTGGTGAAGTGTGGTGACTCGAACTGTTGCACATCGATGCAAAGTTCTATGTTGAAACCAGTCAGTCAGTCAGTCCACCTGACACCATTAAGGTGTCAATATATAGATATTTACGTACTAGTCATATACACCTGCATGATATGTATTGTCTAAAATTGAAATCCTTTTTTATTTTGAGGGGTGATAATGTATAAAATATAATTGTAGTATATTATTCTGTTTTGATAAATCCATCATTTTGTATGTATGTGTACAATAAGTTTATCAAACAAAAAATACAATTGGTTATGGTTATTTGAACTAAACAGGTGAAGATTGGTAATTGGAGTTACGTAATACAAAATCAGTCAAGAAAATTAGGTGTTAGTGAAATTAGGGTAGTAACAAAGGTGATGAGTTGTCACAAACAGTTGTTAAAAGAAGTTATGTAATAATGTGAATAGTTTGATGAGTGAGTTTCACTCAGGATGCACATAGTTCTTTAATTGCTTATGATTCTTGTATTAATTTAGAACTCTTACGCAATTTCGTATTATCTACTTTGTTCCTATGTGCATCCTGAGTAAAACTCACTCATCAAACTATTCACATTATTACATAACTTCTTTTAACAACTGTTTGTGACAACTCATCACCTTTGTTACTACCCTAATTTCACTAACACCTAATTTTCTTGACTGATTTTGTATTACGTAACTCCAGTTACCAATCTTCACCTGTTTAGTTTCAATCCGTCATTGTATTGTTCAGTAATCTGATTTAGCTCAGTCCAGTTCTTACTAAGCATCAAAGTCACGTAGGGTATTATGTTACGTTCAAGTTGAAGATTAATCAGCCATCTCCCTTCATAACTTTTATTTGGTACCATTTGATGTCTACTTTGGAATATATGAGTGTGCATTTATTAAGCTCATGTTAATATCAAAAGATTGATTATTGAACAAGGAATATTCTTTCCTATAACTTCGTCATCAGGTTTTACAGTTATATGTACATAGTAATGAAAGAATTGTATTTAACATTGTCTTTAACAATAATTCTTTCATTATTATGGACATATAACTGTAGAACCTAATGATGCAGTTTTCGGAAAGAATATTCTTTGTTCAATAGTCGATCTTTTGAGATTTCGAATGGGCATCTTTATTCAGTTAAAATTTTGTTAATATGTTTTTCGACATAATCATTTCACACTATCAGTGACTTCCTTCAGATTTGACTGCATTAACTTCACATATATGACTTTGCTCGAGTTGTTACACTTCAAAAAGCACAAAATTAGAGGAAAGATGTGTTTTTTTCTTCCTTCACGTTCCCCAGTGGAACATAGGGCTTCAAGCTAGTGGTTTGAAGTTTCTGTAGCAGTGTTTATTTTACAGGATGGGGTTGCTAGCCTCATGCCCAACCTTTCCTCTTCACCAACATTATTTCTGGCTTAGAGAGGTAAAGGAGTGCGTCGGCCGGGGATCGAACCTCGAGCCATGTGCCTGGCCGGCGAGCGTCCTAACCGCTATACCACCGATGCACTGGAAAGATGTGTAATGGAGCCTAATTCATCCAAAAAAGTGTGGAAATGATAGTATAACAGGAGGTGAGAGTGTATGGGGGCATATACCAAGACGATACCTGGACCGGATAGTGCCTCGACTGTGCTGGTTTTTGTTCAATAACATACTAACACAGCTTGGTTTCATAGTTGTTTGAGAGTGTAAAAACCCTGCTTTGAGTTTAAATTGTATAAGGAGTTGACATTTCTAGGAAAATATCGGTCAGAATTCGGGTATTCAAAGTAACTTAAGATGTGGCGTACAGAAAAAATTAATACAGTCCAGAAAAAGTCAATCGTCATTCGTTTGACCTCCAAAGGCGATGATTTATCTACTTTATTTAAAACGCCAACCTAGTGCAATATGGTCACTAAGAGATGGACCACACAACGGTAATAAAACAACAGTATATAAAGAAAATAAGGAGAGATTGAATGAAGTACGTCATCCACAAAGCAAGCAAGCATACTAATCAAGATCATTCAACGTTCATCACTTCATTTTACTTCCAGAAAGGGAGGAAAGAAGAAATTGCAGTATTTCCGCCATTGGTTGTGATTCTTGGCCATATCTGATAATGTTTCAAGCCACCAATTCAAACTATTTTTCGGACCCCAACCTAGGAGTCCTGACTCACCAACTGATAATGCTAACCTAACACTTGTATCCTTCATCTCACGATGCCGCTTCATAGGCTGACCACCTCTCCTCTTTTATCACCCACTTCCAAAGCTAGCAAACAGAGACCGATACGGAAGCCTCTGGGATGACATTCGTAGCTCATGTCTAAGCCACCGAAACGGGCTTTTCCAGATGGCAACATTCAATAAGTGGTGATCTCAGCCGTGCCCAGATGCAAGCTGCTGGACCTCAGAATTATCCACACGGTGATGCCGTCGGACAGAAGTGATTCGATGGAGACGGTGATAATCGGATACACATAGTCGCTGCACATCTTTATATCAAGGAAATCAAGTTTCACAGGTGTAGAACAAGACTGCACTCACCAAAGCAAAACATCATAAACCCTAATCTTTAACAGTAAGACTACGACGGTGCCAGAGGTGGCTCAAATTGGCCATTCTACCTTACACTATCCAGTTAAAAATCTCTTTCGTCATACCACCAGCACTCTCACAACTATTTAGGTACACGAACTTGTCGACAACTTCAAGCGATTCACCTGCAAGGGTGAGTGCAGGTTCAGGATCCGGCCAATATTGTAATACACACACAGCACACACCATACTCACAGATACTGATTAAGTGCGATTTGGACAGCCTGCATGCTGCCGCACAGTAAGACGATATCGTCTGCGTACTTGAAGTCAAAAAGTTTTCCCAGGAAGCAGATCAACACCACCACGCACCTACTTCACCGCTGACTCTAGAATATCATCGATGGGAAAGTTGAAGAGAACTGGAAAGATTGGACAACCCTGTCTAACCCCATTGTTGGTTGGGAACTTTGTAGGTGTGACAAGCTTGAACGCAACGCGTTCATATATCTCACTGGAGATCAGCATTTTGAAAGCAATCCACTAAAGCAACTCAAAATGACAGACAGGCTTGATAATCCAAACAAAGACGAAAGACTAACGAACCTGCAGACACCAAGATAGTAAAGCCGGTAAAAGTAAAACACAAACATTAATGTATTAAAATAAAGTCACTGGGGAACACTTTGAAAGATATATGACTGTAGTTCATAATGGTTAGCGTGCACGTATATTCTCATGAATCGTTGTCGCAATATTTGCCCAGGCTAAAGCCGGTGTTTGTCTACCGAGTCATTGGCTTGAAGTCTGATCGATAAAGCAGTGGAGCAGCGTCAGGGGCTACGTTCCCATGGTTCCCAGTGACCAGAACAGGTTCATACGCCACTTGTTACGTTCGGATTCTGGAGCACAGCGCCACCATAGGTTTGGAATCAGGGTTTCCCTTCTGTCTTATGTAGGTATCGAAGTTCACCAGCCTGGTTATATTAAGCGCTAGACGTTTGCGTTCACCCTCCCACTTCTGTGAAGAACACACCTGTCTTATAGAGGCAGTCAGTAAAACTTTACTGACAGAGACTGTGAACGTGTGGCCACTTTAGAGCGTTTCGAGAGTAGGACTGGGTCTCAAAGGTGGTAATATATCACAATGGATGAACAACAAACTAAAAGACCATAACGTCGTCGACCTTAACTGTTTACTTTACTGTAGTGACTTTCAACCAATAAAACCGACTAAGACGCATACGGTTGTACACTGCATCTCAACGGGCGAAATTAGGTTGGTAAAATTATTTCTGTATTTAAAATACAGACGTTACTTAATGGACACCAAGCATTGCACCGCACAAAACTAATAAAGCCTAGAATAGTTGAGAAAAATAGAGAAATTGAAAGACACTCATCAGGAAAAGCGAGCATACTTATAAGTAGCATTCAAAACACTTTTCATGTTATTTCCCAAAACGAACACAGGAAATCTCAGCGTGTTCGTCATTTGTTTAAATTCTCAATTACGTCTGATAACTTCTCACTGATTCTGATCTGTCGGACCTCACTCGTGGAGTGGTGAAGTACCAACAAATGCTAACCTTACACAACCACCCGTCATCCCGTTACGCCACTTCGTGTTCTGACCATCCCCCCACTTTTTCACTTAGTTCCTGGGCTAGCAAATAGTGAAAAGTGTAAGATGGATACAAGGTGTTGACGATAAAATAAAAGGTGACCATACTAAGACGTTACACTCAAACTCAAACATTGTCTAAGCTGAGTAGAAGAATGTAAGTTGCCTACTTAAACTGTAAGGACTAGTGGTACTAGCATTGTTACCTTGGTAAGTTGACGGAGAATTTCGAACTTGAACCTGTGGTTGAAAGTCATGCGGTCTAAGACAATGGGCAATAACGGATGAATTTGTCAGATCATAACAAATGTTCCTTTTTCTGAATATGTTTTACCTGGAAGAGATACAGCTGATGTTCTTGATCATGGAGGCTTATGTTGACACAAAATTTTATGTCAATTATCATTTCTATGTCTTTTAAATTCAAGCATAATATTATTATTATTAATGCATGAACATGTTTATTTTTCTCTTGTGAGTGCTACTGTCTCTAGAAATTCGCATTGTGTGTTACAGCGTTGACCGTGAGTTAGGTTTGTCTGTGCTCTTGTGTATGTTAACTTAATCAATATACGCATCAGCTGAATTTGCACAGTGACTTTTATCAACAGTAACAATGTTTAATGTGTCAATAAGAACTAAGCCTAAATAAGAGTTTGTTCAATATATTGACGAAGATATTGAAAAGATTTATCAAAAGACGACTTTCCTTTTCATTGCAAAAGTGTGTTGTATATTCACTTTAATAGAGAGTGAATGTTTTAACGAGTGAGTGAGTGAGTGAATGAATGAGTAGGTAATAGAGAGAGAGAGAGGAGTATTTTAACATCACTCATGTAGATTTGTTCTCTGTGTTATGATAAATAACAGAACAGAGCAGAGTTTTTCAGTGGTAGGCAAACAACTTTTCGTTTCTTAAGGGGTGGGAAGGGTATACACCGTGAACTTCTATCTATCTTAACAGCAGATTACCTTTATCCAGCAACAATATATCTCCTACTCTCCGTACGCTCACATCATGTTTTTAGCTGCTCATCGAATAGGAACCCTTGATTATTATGACTAGAAATCATAGATCACATAACTGCAGACATCCATTTTTTAAAATATATAATTGAGTATCCCATTACTCTCCGTTTACTTTATTTTGTAATTCTCCATATCCTTTCAAGTTACTGTAATATTCATATGTATTCTCATTGCCTTTTATGTGTTTCTAAGTAGTGTATTTTATACTGACATTTATAGACTTGTGTTTTGCCATCTTTCGGTACTCGTTAGCATGAAGTGTCTTCCAATTTTAGCGCCTTCCCACCTTTTGCAATAAATTCTGAAGATTTTCTTTATCGGTCGCTGAAGGTTTCAACAGACTCATTCTGGATACAGACTAATTCATATTTGCATTTGTCATTAAAAAGTATTTTGTTGTGAAGGGACATTTGTTGGTAGGATATGTAGTCTTTTCAGCCTGCTGTAACTTTATGCAACTTTTTGTCTAACAGATTATCTAAATTTTTGCATACAACCGGTTCCCTTTATTAGTTTGAATAAAAGACAGAGTGAACATACTTGCAGGATGGATAATACGAGCTCGTTTTATCTCATAAATTCTCTTCGACTGTGTACATTCTAAATAAATCAATTACATGTTACAAAACATTCCGAATATACTTTTTACAATGATTTGAAGTTAAAGATAGAAAGTATAAGCAACATAATTTCAAAGATGATCTAAGTAGACAATTATTCAGTTTATGTATAGTAATGTATGTATAGTAATTAGACAAAGGGATGGAGTTCTGATTCCGCCTGAAGACAAGGATGGACTAGAGACAGAACACAAGATAAAACAACAGAGTTAATTTATACATATTATGGTGGAGATTTCAGGAGGGTAAGGGTGAATAATGAAATAAAATTATAAAATACTTAAAATAATTTAATTTAGTAGATTTGGAACCTTAATAGTGAGTTCGACTCGGTGAGTGCAAATCAAGATTGAGTGGAATGTCATGCAGCAGAACAGAGCATAACAAGGCACACAAACAAAACAATCATGGTTTCCAGGGTAGTGAGAGATTAGTCACACTATCTTTCTGTATGCATAGGTTGGGTCGAAGTCTTCTGATGGCAACAGCTTCTACGAGTCCTACGTGGCTGTAAAATTCAAATTATTGTGATAAAATAACTGAAGATAATACTGACCAAGAGAATATCTGCCTAGAGGGTTGAGGATCACAATTAAAAGGTTATGTAGAATTTCTCGATTGTGGTGGTGATAGTGGTTGTACATATTTCCTCCTGTATGTAGAATCAATCACATTCACACTCTATGCTTATCTTAATGAAGTATTTAACTCTCGATGCTCCATGAGTTCCTGAGTGCTGTTCAAGAGATTGTTTGATTCACTGACTAGAGACGGTGTCCCATATGTTTCAAAAACCTTTTTTATTATTACTATTACTGTTATTATGCTTCACTTGGTTCCCAGAAGAACATAGGGCTTCAGAAGCACATCACTATTTTACTCTCTTCTCTACAATCCTCTTTATCTACCTCCACAATTGCCCATAAGCTGTCATCTGCTCCTCACACAATCTCCTCCATGTCACTTTCGGAACCGCACCCGACTCCTCGTTTCCAATTCGGGTTTCAGTTGAATGCCTATCTGGCGCTTGATGTCACTCAAAGGTCTCCTCAGGGTGTGTACGATCAACATTAATTTTCTTAAGCATATTTATTGGGCAATAGGTTATTGGCTGGTTAATTACCTGCTGGGGTATTCTGTTGCTTATCCTTTCTGGATCAGTGTCGGTGGCACATCGGTAGAATGCTTGCCGACCACACATTTGGTCCGGGGTTCGATCCCCGGCCGACGCACTCTTTTACCTCGCTAAGCCATTAGTTAGACTGGTAAAGAAGAGAATAGGCTAGCAACCCCACCCCGTAAAAGTAAACTCCACTGCTACCGAAACTTCAAAGCCCTATGTCCCACTGAGAACGTAAAGGGATGAAATAAAAGTAATCCTTTCTGTTTGACCATTGAGCGAACGAAGGCAGCTGTTCATGATCGTCTGCAACAGGCTGTTAGCAATGCTTTTTACGACGCACAATCAAAGTTTCTGAACTGTATAGAAACAGGCATTGACTTGACATCAGTGTGCAGTAGATTTTGACTTGATTTCAGAGTAGAGATGTGTCTTGCTTTTCCGATCCTACCTTGATCGTCCTTATCCGTGCTGCTAGTGGTTGACACTGTGCTGCCTAGATAAGTAGAATAGGCGACTTTAGATTTCTTCCATGGACAGGGATTAGTGCTTGTTGTTGTTTAGTTAACTTCATCACTTTACGTCTTCACTATGTTCGCTTGAAGTGCTGTCTTCACTGCTTGCCTCTTCTGCCAACTTACTGGTTTTCGCATGTAGATCTTTGGGTTTTTGTGACAGTAGGCATAAATCGTTCGTGAAATCCAGGTCTTCTAGAGTCTTTGATAGAACCCATTAAGATTCATTTCAGAAAAATAATATACTCTGTAGTGATTGTGAGGTCACTTACGTAGATCAAACTAGTAGATCGGGATCAACTAGATTATCAGAACGTAAAAATCTAGCTAGACGTAGAATGGTTGACCCTGCTAAGTTAAATAACGGAGAAAAAAGCTCAACCACTGCACTATATTCACTTTCATGTAATCACAAAATAGGGTGGGACAGGGTGAGAATATTGAAAAGTATTATAGTTAGGTGTAGAGAGAAGTTAATCACTGAAGCTTTTTTTATCGGTTCAACACCGTACACATGCAATCAGAACCACGCAACACCGCCCATACCGGAGTAGTGGAAAGTGACAACCAACAACAAGGGGAAGAGTGAGACAGAGAGAGAGGAAAAATGTAAAAGACAAATTGTGAAAGTGTGTGACTAAAATTGATAGAACAATGAACAATATTTCATGTTCGAAACCTTATCATCCAGTTTTTAGTGCTCCATCACTGTGTGTTATTTAAAGTAAACTTGTTTAATATGGAACTTCTCGAGTCTTCTTGCGCCCTACGGTCTTTTGCATAATCCAGTCAGGAACAATCTCTAGTGTCATCGGTGATAGTCGGCGACATTTCAATATTGTTTACACTCTTTCGTGTACACAATAAAGTGTTCAAAACATTTTATGAGGTAATAGTAATTATAATCTTTTCTTAATACATTCTAGGTTCCAACGGTGCGTACAGTGATAAATGGTCAACCAGCATTGAATAAATGTCGATTTCACTCATCCGGTATGAATATTGCCGTCGGTGATGATAGCGGACGTGTGCATTTATTCGATTTAAAGGGAGTAAGTCAGGCTTGTTTAGCTTGTCGAAAGCAGAAGGTGTAAATCATGTTTTAGAATTCTTTAAATGCTAAATTTTGTTACTGGTTGAAATATTTACGACCGATCTGGATTAACAGACTCTACATTGGTGGTAGCTGAGGCTAAATAGAGGTGTAATAAAAACTATTGACAGCGTCAAATTAATTCAACTGGTTCGTACTGGTCACAAAGCCAGCATTAAAGAATATTTTTCCGTCATCCAGCTAGAACGGAATAAATTACCAAAACCCTCTGAAAACCGGAAACTTCAATCAACAGAAACCAATACATTTCTCCTTTAAAACAACTAGGAGTGAGTACAAAAGAAACCAATGTAGCCAATGTCGCTACCCTAGTCTGTAGGGGGAGGGGGTGGAACCCACTGATTCACAAATTCTGTACTATTTTTTCTTAATTTATCTGATATTTAATTTAGTACCTTATATGTATGCATGTTATCGCATATACAAGTTGTTTTTCTTTAATGACTCGCTGATATTTAGAAAACAGTAATGTTATTAATGATAATATTTATGTGATTACTGTTGAATCTGATAGCCAAGTAGTCAATCAGTCTTTTGAAATTTAAAATGGGCATCCGTAATCAATTTAACACCTTTTTCGTCCTTCTGGACATCACCCATCAGCGGTGTTACCTCTTTCACTTATCTAGGAAGCATTGTCTAAACCACAGGTAGTCAAAACGGACGAAGATGTCAAAGGTAGAATTGGAAAGGCAAGATACGCCTTCACCAACCTGAAATTGTTTTGGAAATCTGCCCTGATTCTCAGTTGCATAAAGAACAAGATTCACATTTTCAACAACAATGTCACATTGGTCCTTCTATACAGGTTAGAAACTTGGTCTACATGTCACGAAAAGGATTTCTGACAGCCAATTACAGACTTTTATCTACAGATGCACAATTCGCACACACTTCTGCAGATCAAATGGTCGAAGGAAAAAATCATTAACAGGAAAGTGTGTCTGGGAACAAACCAACAGGTGAGAGGCGATTGCTCAACAAATATGTAGGAGGAAATGGAGATGGATGACGCATACATTTCAGAGGCCGTGGAATTATATATCGCGCAATGCAGACCATCGCTCGAGTGGAATCCCAGTGGGAAGCGACGAGTGGGTTGTCAGTTAGAGGGTGACATGGAGGCGATCGTGTGACGAAGAGATGAGAGATTATGGCTAATCGTGTGGCTATCCAGCTGAAGAGGATGGCAGAAAATAGAAGAAAGTGGAGATCTGTTGTTGACTGACTGACTGGTTTCAACATAGAACGTTGCATCGATGTGCAGCAGTTCGAGTCACCACACTTCACTTAACACACAAAGCAAGAGAAGAAAGTAAGACAAAACGCAGAATAGAGACAGTAAACAGAGATATGAGGCAAAAAGAATAGTAATATCGAAGAACAATGTAGTTTTATTGGATAAGTGACAAAGAGTGGATGCATCTGCACCACTGAGAACGATGTCGAGCCATATCACCAATTGTCTCCAGCCACCACTGGTTTTCACCGTCCATAAACACCTCTGGAGTCATTCCATCAGGTCCTGCTGCTTTGCCTCGTTTCAGACTAGGGACAACCTTAGTAACCTCAGTTAGGGACGGAGGACCGGTGCTTATATTCCTATTCAGGGAGATGTTGGATGCTGGGTAAGTTGAGCGTGACTGTAGGCCAATCAAAGTGCCCCTCAAAGTGTTCTTTCCAGCGTTCTAGTCGTCTATCCCGGGAGCTAATTTTGGTGCCATTTCCCTCAGAGATTGTTTCACTTATCATTTGCCTTTTACTACCTGTTTCCCTTATAAACCTAAATGGTTGTTTGGTGTCACCAATAGTCGATGCCTTTTCCATCTCTTTTACTTTTGTCGCCCACCACTGTTCACGGTCGTTACAAAGAGTTCTTGTTGGCTTGTATTTGAGCAGCTTTCACTCCTCATCATAATCGGAGCTCACCGGAATCAGTGTTCTTGCGTGAAGCAGTTCGGATCAGGTGGTAGAAATCCAATGGTTCTTACTAACTTTAGGTTTCAGGTTATTAACAGCTTTTACAGCTGTGTACACAGCTAACTGTTTGTTTTGCCTGGTTACCTCAAAAGGGTTACTGCTGTCGACCTCAGATACTCGTTTCGCCATTTCTTCCTTAAATAGGGATTCAGAGTCTCGATCTAGTTGGGGCCGTAACTGTTTCGCTGCTAGCAATTTTTTATATCCGTCAAGACGTAAGCAGAAACGTGGGCGAACCAGAGCGTGATCAGAGTCTGCGCACATGCTTCAGAAATAGTGGCAATTTTATACTGACCGTCGCCAACGAAACACAATCGCTATGTGGTCTACCTGAGTCCAGCGTTGATTTAGTGATGGAGGTCGCCAGTTTACACAATGTCTCTCTTTGTGCTTAAGGTTAGTGCTGACTAGGAAAAGGTAATCGTCTGTAGAGAACTGTAGAATACTATCACCGTTATCGGTTCGTCGGCACAGAACTCCATACGTACAACCTACATAGTTCTCAGTCTGGCACAATTTCCCTAGCTGGTTATTGAAGTCGCCTGCTACAACAACTATATATGAACGTTTTGCTTTTTGCAGCAAATAAGACAGTTTCAGGTAGAAGTCATCCTTTAGTTCATCCGAACTGCAGTCTGTTGGGGCGTCAGCAGAGACCATGAAAAGACAACGACAGGTAACGCCATACTTCCTTCTTCTAATGGACCCATTCGGACGGACCGCACACATACAACTATATGCTGGGATCCAGTCAAGAAGTGATTTTTCTGCGCTAATACTCAATGCTGTCCCCACACCTGCGAGTCCTCGCGAACTAGCTGAGGGGTCTCCTGACACGCTCAGGGTGAATTTTGCAGATTCACCTTGTTGGCCCGGTGAGGTTTAGTGAATGACTACAATCGGGTCTTGTATGTGTGTCTCCGAAACACAACATACATCCATGGCTCGAGATGTCAGAGTTCTTGCTAGTGATGCCTGTTGACCGATCTGGCCGAGGGTCCTGACGTTGAATGCTCCTATATGAAGTTGGCGACGTAGTTTAAGAGGCTGTCGGAGGTATTTCTATGTCTCATCGTTGTTTCTGGTCACAGAGTGAAGTGAAGCTTACTCACTAACCAGCAGAATAGTACTGACTGTAGTAGGGGGGTAAAATAAAAATGACGAGGGTGAAGGGGAATGGTGCTTGGGGAGGCTTCGTGTGCTTTTGGAAGTGTGTGGGCAGTTGTTACTTCTCGGCTGCCCACACCGTGGAAGTTGATTGATTCTTCGGGTATCTGAAACAAAAAGAGGGTTAGTATTTCGTGAACATAGAGCCGAGGGACAACTGTTTGAGGCTGGTCACACACAGCGTGTATGAACTGGTCTCTTGGATTGGTTCTGTATCAGTAAACTTACCGCTGGTTACGGACCACGGCAGGGTAAGTCGGGATGTACAAATCTTATGGTCGACATATTCTAACTCCATCTCTTCGTAGTGGGAGAGACAGCATAGCTGTTATATCCCTGTTCCCCAGCAGTATAACTTCGTCCACAGACCCCCAGTGTAGTGTAAAAAAATTCCTAGACTATGTCGGTAACTGCTTTTAGTCTAATCGCTATCCTAACAACCATCCTGGCATGGTAGGACGTGCAGGAACAATAGTTCCAGCCAGTGTAGCTTGTTGGGTCATTGCGATATGCAAGTCCGACAATCACGTCAAAGTAGCAGCTGTCGGTCGGGAGATGTGTTGTTGACGCCCTATGTTCCACTCGGAACCCAAGGGAACAATAATAAAAATGCAATGTCCTAGTTTAATCCTTATTTCGTGACTGGCAGTTGATTTACATCTCTATTCATCATTTTTGTTGACTTGGAATTTGAAATTTCTTGTCACGTGATATACATTTTATTAGCTGGTAAATTTGGTCTATACTAATATGTTTGTTAATGGCTGATATATTTGAGTGCCAGGCTTCTATTCTTTCAAAAGCTGTGTGTATCATTCTACCATTTCAAGGGGTTGATATACAAAAAGTGGTTAAACGGGAGAATTGCCAAAGTTGTTGGAAGTAGTAATTGTGCTGCGAAATTCGGATTCTTTTAGCACCATCAAGAGAGTGCTTAAGCACTCTGCGAGAGTCCGACCTTTAATTCTAGATACTTCCAACTGCATATATTAACTACAGTTTGTTTATGCAGGCAAATACGTAGGCCATGCTAAAAGGTGATTGTCGACTGGCGAGATGGATGGAGTATTTACCAAAGCTTAATTTGGCGTATCAAAATGTTCAATAACAAAGCATCGTATCGACTACAGACATAATATTGACGCTGTCAAGTCACTCACTGTTGTCAGCAGACGGACAAACAGAAAGATACTTGCCTTTACGGAGGCCTTTGCAACAAGGGTTAATAAACACAGTTTCTGTGTACAGAAAGAAATAGTGATCCCTTTGAACCGCCTATTTTTAAGGTTACTAGGTAAGTTATTCAACCAGTAGAAAAGTAGAAGTTGTTCAGTAACAAATTTGGTGTTGTGTGAATGACGGACAGTGAACAACTTCAACATCCTCCGACAAGCTTGCTGTATGAAAGTATGACAACATTGAATTATCTGAAGTGTCAATACTTGTTAAATCGAAGCTCATAGTTTTCAGTATTTAAGAAGACACGTTGATGGAACAACACTATATATAATGTTCATGTAACTAGTTTTAAGATGATTTACATCTGTGATTACTTCAAAAGCAAGTTGACTTATCAGATATAGGATATTCACAAAAATGGACTTTACAGAGTAGTTCCACAGAGGTTGAAATGTTAACATAACTGAGTAATATCTAGATGGTTTTTGGGGACAACGAACTGAGTCATCAGCACTAGTTTTGTGTTTACCGTTGTCATTAAGATCCAATGTTAAAAGTAGTGTGTTAATTATTTAGACAAGTTTTCTTAACATTCGTCAGCAATAATACTACTGGTCAGAAATTGAAACATTTTCTTATTGGTTGTTTTTTAATGAGGACTATGTGAACTGCTCACCAAAATTGTGTACCCTTTTAGCACTTTTAATTCATAAGAATGCCGGTAAATGTTATCAGTGTAATATCTCTAAAACAGTGAGATTTTGATGGTCGCATCGCGACATCTTCTCATGAATTAAGCGGTGATAGTTTTTTCACACAATTAATTTATTATTTCCTTTTGTTTTTAGTCTCTGGTGTATTCTACAGGAGAGGATTACGTTGTGTTTGCTCGTACAGTCAACGGACTTAGACAGAATGTGGCTGAACAAAAGGAAAGCGAGACTGATCAATTGTTAGGTCTAATGGGAGGATCTCCTTCATCCATCCATTAATCATGTGATAACAAACATTTAGGCTAAAATGCCTTCAAATCCTCCATATTATTATCCGGTTTCGCAGAATAAATGTCTACTGATTTCTGATTTGTGTTTTAGTTGCCTAGTGATTGGGGGGGCTCGGTTTTATAGGACTTTTCACAATAGACTGACTATTTGAATTATTGATATGAGCTTGTTGGAGGCATTCGGCAGCAAGCCTAAGACCTAGGTTTCGTGCTAGTTGACTCTAGATAGGATACAAACACAATCATTAAACAATAAAATTTCCGGCACTGCAGGCGTGTAAGCTTATGACTTTAAGCAGAACAGTCGCCACTAGTTTTTGCTACGTTACTGTATATCCCGGTAATATCGTTTACGATTCTCTGCAAGTTAAAAGTGGACATCAAATGACCAAGGATTTTCGATAGTGGACAAAATAATACTAGTGAAGAGACAGAAAGAAATAGAATTCACTTGTCAGGTATTAAGACAGATTACGTCCATTGCAGGTGTAGTGATCGAACGAACTTCTGTATGCACAGTTCAGGACTTAGCAAGTGAATTGCCATTGCTTCTGCAGTTTGATGAAGACTGCTACGTATTTTGTACACGACATCGAAGTTTGTTTAGGTTGTAGCTTGGTATGCGGAATCTATCAGATGTTCTAAGATAGAGCTGGGGGGCATCGTTTTTCTCCTTTGTAAAACTATGCTGGTGAGTGTTCGGTGATACGTTTGGAAAGTGAACGCTGGGTACGGCCGACATATGTGGCTCCAGACGAGCAAGTGACTTGGTAGATACACATTGATGAGGCCAGCAGTGGTACCTTATCCTTCACGTTCAAACGAACCATAGGTTTCGTGGAGAAGGTTAATCGTAGTTCAGCTGCAAAGAAGGTTTTCCTAAGTAAACGCGACAGTCGTTTTTTCAGTGTTTCCGCAGATGAAGGTTCATGTAGTGGAGTTTTTTCGGAACGCTAAGCGTGGGTTGCTGTTTGTGGTCTAGGATTCATGGATTTTGCAATAAATCGTTCTGGGTAACAATTCTCCATGAGGATTCTCTTGAGATTGTCCAGTTCGTCTTCTATGGTATCCGGGGTGCAGATTCTGCGAACTCTGTATCTGAATGAATGGATCAAGTTTCGTTTGGTGTATAGGGGTTACCCACCTGTGAAAGTTAGTAAGCTGTCCGTTCCACGTCGACTTTCTGTAGATAGGACTTTTCAGTGTTCCATCCTGTTCTCGTCTTGTTAGTTGAACGTCAAGAAAGGATATTTTTGACTCTTTCTCTAACGTGAACTGAATCGCAGGGTGGCAGTTGTTAAAGGGATTTAAGAAGTCGTCTAGATTTTCTTCATTGTTGACGATAATGAAAGTGTCGTCGACGGATCTCTCTTATGGAATTCGAAGGAATCGATCATTTTCTTCAGGTATGTGTTTTCGACTTTTACCATGAAGAAATCTGCAAGCAGTGGGCCTAGTGGTGAGCCCATAGCTATACCATCCTTTGGGCGATATATGTCGTTGTTAAAAGAGAATTGAACATTCAGGGTACACCTCAGTAGGAGTTCTTTAAGACACTCGGTGGGTATACCGATGTTTGTTCCCTTTGAATGAATAAGTTCGCATGTGTAGCATATTGTATCAGTCAGTGGGACGTTTATGAACAATGACGTGACATCTAGTGAAATCATGGTCTTGTTGGATACGTTAATTTTGTCGATTAAGTCGAATGAATCTCAAACTGTGTGTTTCTACCTGTGATTACCTCTGTTGCTATCCTGACCTAAGTTGAAACATTTTAGTCAATTAGATTACATCATCTAACTTACTAATTCAATCTTACTTTAGTTGCTGTCTGATTAACCTTGTTTCTAGATCAGATCATTCTTGTATTACCTGATTAATTATCTAAACTTGACGTACCTCATGTACATACACACACAAATAATATATAAATGCGATTGTACAGCTGTGTGAAATTTCCTGGGTAACCGTGTTGTTCAGTCGAAATTTATATTTGGAATGCTGTACAACATAGTCAGTCTTTCCCTTGGGTTACATTAAAAATCATCAAATCAACGCAGAACTCACCTAGTGACTGGAAGTCCTGGGTTCGAGTCCTGACAGGTACGTACCGCTTACCATCCCCAAACGAGGACGAGGTAGCTGTTTAGTACTCCTGTTTTTCAGTGACTCTCTAATTGATTTTAGCTCCTGGTCAAGCCCATTAAATAGGTACAGAATTTGTTTTGTGTCTCAAAATAGTTGTTCTGCGTGTTTGCTTATAAGATCACACGTATCACAACCTCATTACAACTTTAACTCCCTTCTGATGTGACATCTTCTGTTGATCAGTTATCTACCTGCCTGCTGTCTAATTTAGTTTCAGCTTACAGTTCGCACTGCACAACATTCTCACTGGGTTTATTCATTTAGTTTAGTTGTAAGCTTTTCTATTGTGATACATATAATCAAAAGTTCAGCTGAGAATTTGCTCTATCGTGTTATAGTGTGACGAACGCGTTAGTCGTCATCTCAGTTGTTATGCGTGTGTAGAAGCTACATCATATCTGAAGTATAAAACCTTAACTCATTTGGCAGAAGTTTACCCACTGCACAATATTTTTCAATGTATCGTAAGGTGAGCATAAAGAAGTACTCTACACATACAGACTCTGTTATCTGCCTCACAGCTTATTTACTCAATGAATGTCACATTTTCAATCATTGCATATGTAAACCTTTCTTAATGGGGAAGGGATCTCGTTTGATAAGCTAATAATGGTTGTAAATTGATGATAAGAACGCTGCATTATTGCTATTAATAATAAGTCATTGCCACTTCGAAGGTAGATACACAGTTGACTACATCACACTGATTATTACTACCACCATATTTTTATGAACCTTTATTTCATATATGAGTGCCATATTTTAAGACCACTCAAGTCACAAAAGGTGAAGATACTAGAATACCCGTACTTGTATAACTTCAACAGAAGTTACTTCACAGAAGTTCTTAATGGTCACTAATAGTTGTGTACAAACAGGTTTCCTCAGTGATATTGCTTATTGTTTCTGTTTGATTGCGTGGAGGATTTCATCATGAGCTGAGATCAGTTAGAGAACTACTGGAAAACCTGGGAGTACTGGACAGCTGTTCCGTCCTAGTTTGCGACCCTTCACAGTACGAACCCCCTAGGATTCGAGCTCGCAGACCATTGAGCCACAGGGACACGATCCAATGGTCAATGGATTCTAACTTCTGCCAATTCACGAAATGGCGCGACTATTTCGCAATGTCTTCTTCGATGTGTTACTGCCTCCTCTTCAACCTGCTGTACCCTACTGGTCACGGCTTCTGTATTACTCTTGATAGCTGAAGTGGTGCTTTAGATTGTTAAACTTGAGTGAAGTTTCATTTCACTAGATAATGGTACGAACCTAAATCTGCTCTTCTCTTGATCTACAGTCCAGTAGGTTGCACCTGCATTTCCTTCAGACTGAGATGAATTTCATCTCCAATATTGATGTATATCTCTCTAGCAATCTGCAATGTTGCCAGCGAGCAGCTTCTGCATAATAATCATTAACTTATGATTGTTTGAGATGTACAAAATTAGAACCAAGTTTAGTTGCCTCTGTGGGCCATACTACTCTTTAGCCCATTTGGTGCATACTGATCACAAACACTTTCAATCTTACTTAACTGCTTAGTGGCGATAATACCTTATCCACCTTATTTCGTCATGTGTAGAGGAATGCAACTCCTGGTTTATGGCAATACACGTACCATTATCAGTGTCCGCTTACGTCCGGCATCCCGCTCTACCATCATCCTTACATCTACGGTAGAGAATTTTAGAACAACTCTAATAAATCCAATAACCTATATTTCGAAAACATTGGGAAGTTAAGTGAATGCGGAAACACTTAAATTTTAATAGTAAAAATTCCAAGATGAAGATCTTCGCACACACATGTAGAAGGTTTGCACAAAATTTGCATTTGTCCTAGATTAACATGGTTACTAACGATCAGTGAAAACAAATCTGATCCGATTTTCGGCCTCCACACTTTGCACTAAAATTACGCAAAATTCCAGTGATTAAATTTCAGAATGCAAAGTATTAAAAAGTTAACTTCTTATTGAGTAGAAATGTCAATAACAGGAAAGGTTCATCGGAAGGAAATAAGGCCAGCATCGATCAATTTCATTAACTTGGATGCTATTTCAGGATTATTCAGGTGTTCGCGAAGGGCAGTAGGATCTGACATTTGGTCTAAAATAACGCGCATGGCTGGATCAGATAGGATCGAAGCTATTTCGGGATCGTTTACGGCACGTTTGCGAGCTGCTTCCGGATCATCATCGTTGGTATACGATTGCATGAGACCCTCCCTGGCCTCTGTACAGTCTGAATCCAGTTCTAGAGCCTTCCTACAAAAATAAACAACGAGAGACTGACGTTACTAGTATGTTAGTAATAATGTTAATAAAAAGAATTACAAAGTTTAGTTTAAACAACCGTCGATAGCCAGATGATAACTGACTGCACACTAGATGGAATCTCGTTTTGCTTACTCAGTTATCTGTATGATATTTCATTTAGCGTCAGCCATTTGTAGCCTTAATTCACCCAGATTTCAGCAACCAAGGCATATCATAAGCATTCGCACTAGATGTGATCTAATCAGGCTTACAAATCTCCCTGCGCATTCACTAAATTGAAACGGGTATCTGAAGAGTTAAGTTAAAAATTAGTGTACTTCAACGTATTCATGCAAGGACACCTCTTAAAAGTGAAAAAGGTTTAAAAAACTGATCTGCTTACAAACGTGAATGGCATATTACTCAGAAGCGATTAGTCGACCAGATACAGCGAGTTCGCGCGATATATCTAAAGGCCTGATCACACATTTGTGAGACTACCCGTTTTGTGTAAAAATGAAGACAGGAAGTAATAGATCAAGAATAATGATAGTGAAGCGAGAAGTATTTGAGAAATA